CGAATATATCCATTTCCCCATGGATCCCATTACCCGGATATATGATTCTTCCCATCTAAGATGTATAAATTATACACTATAATCAGTATCTTTACATTGATCTCCTCTTTGATTCTGCTAAACCATAACCCCAGGAGTCTTTGAATTTGCCTTTGTCTCCTACTGTTTAGGAAACTGTAGATCCAATTGGCCATAATTAGTTTAATTTAATGGGATTTAACACTTAAACATCCCTCACCTCATTGGTCTTTCTCCTTTTGCTCTGAGACCAGGCTCTCTTCCTTTCTGGCCTGATCTGGAATTGTCACCTTCTTCAAGAGTTACTATTATAGAATAGATCTGGTAAGGTCTCTTCCAGGCTACATTAGTATAAAATAAATATTATTTATATGCATTACTTTTCCTTTATTAAAATGTAAAAAGTATACAAGTGTCTTGCTGAAGGTCATGCCGCCAGTTAATTGCATAATTGAATATTCTTACCTCAATCTCTTTCTATCACCCCAGGCTGAGTCCATCAAAAAGTACTCTTTATATGTAGGCTGAAATTTAAATTCCTTTAAAATGGCCCACCTTTAAAATTTCACCCTTCTCTACTCCCACTCAATTTATGCTTGTTTTAAAAACTGCTTATCATTTCTCTCAATGGACAAGTCTTCTTAAATTCATATATGGTCCATAGACTGTCATTAAAGAGGTCATGAGTGTCCAGTCTCTAGTAACGAGACTTCTCTGTAGGACTTGAATTCTCCATAAGCAGGGTTCAAGGGGCACTCCAGAACTCTTCAGTCCCCTAACACAGCTTTGTCCCAATATTTCTTCTTGAGACCATCAGTAATGATTACATTATGCTCTTTATTCCTTGATTCCCTTTCACGTCATTACTATAGAAACCCTAGTCTACCACAGTAATGCACATCCCTCAGACCTTTGATTCTTTCACACTCTGCGCATTACCTTCTCTGACCTCAACTCCCACCCCTCCCCCACTGAAGGGAGATCTTTTTTCCTCTTTTCCCCTACATCTATGAATCTTTTGTCATTATTCTATCACCACCTCTCCCAATTGGAGTCAACTACCATTCCTTAGGGTCATGATTCTTCCTTCTTTGATGTTAGGGCTGGGTTCACTGTCCTTCAGTGCAACAGCACTGCTATCATAACTCTTTGAGATTTCTCCATCTGTGAAGATCTTCCTAATATTCAGATCTCTCAGCACCTTGATCTCTTCCACTCTACCACAGTCACACCTTCTCATGGTTATAGCCTAGTGCTTATGACCAATGACTGCCACCCATCCAAAATGTTCCACTTCCTCTCTTTCTGGCTCACTCCCTCTAGTACTCCAATTCTAACAAGCTTACAAAAGTAAAAACGTATCTTATTTTATGACTTCTCAATATCTGTTAATCCCTTAAATTCTCACTTCCTGCCCTACTTAGATTAAATTTCTAGTCAATTATTACAGTAGTTCTCATCCTTTCATGTACACTCAACCTCCTCGCCCTCCATGCAAATGAATATGTCTGGAGAAAGATACACAGTCATGCTGACTGGACACTTTCTAATTATGATCATTAACCTCAAGTGATTTCCTAATGCTGCCCAGTAGTCATATTTCATTTTGCTATTACTAGTCACACTTCCACTCAACCAGAGCACTGTGTCATAGCTTCTCTTTTCTTATACTTCCAAAATCTCCTCTCTCATCTTCATTCTCCACTGATGATGTACTTGCTATTTCAGAGTCAAAATACAAGGTAACAAAATAAAAATTCAAGGTCTCTTATTTAAAAAGCAGGAAAAAAGTGGCATTAAAGGTACTAATGTATAAAGATTTTCCCTTTCATGATCTTTCTCTCACAATGTCATAGCATTTTTCACTTAGTATTTAATCTTGTCCTAAGAAAAAGTAAAAGTTTAATTTATTGTCATAAATTTTAACATTAGTCTTTATATTTTACAATGTAAGTTTTACATGCAAATATAAGAATATTTAACTAGTATGCAGAATCATCAAAATTTAAACATTTACATTTTGTGGTTCATATATGCATATGTATTTTATTCTTACCAGAACAGAGAAAATGTTACACCAAACTAACTGAATTTTTTCTTTTTCACTTCTTTCTGTGTGCATATTCTATCTAAACTCTCCACCTCAGCTTACTGCTGAGTAAGAAAAGCCTGAAAGAAAAAAGTATAGATTGCCCCGTGTTTCCCTTTTATATCATCATTTTCAGCGTAAGTAGTCAGCTACAATAGGGAAGTAACTTGAATGAGAAAAGATATAACAGGTTCCTCAGTCTTTTGTGTTTTTTGAAACACTATTGCCTTTTTTTCTGAGTTGGAAACAAGTTCTTATACACACTGACAGTGTGGCTTCTTGGGCTGTCAGTGTCCCAGGCTTACCCACTTACAGACTTGCTTACATTGTACTTGCTTTGAGTCTTGCTGAACTCCCATGCACGGTGGGGCCCAGCAGTTCTGTATTCATAGGGCATTACGAATGCTATATGTGAACAGAATACACACATTTTGTGTTTCTCCTCTACTCACAGTCCTGCCCTTTCATCTCACTGGATTTTACAAAAGTTCAAAGATAAAATTTTTAAGAATTTCATGACATCAACAACAGAGATTTAAAACATGTGGGGCCCTTCTGAGCACCAGGCCCTGTGCAGTTGCTTGGGTTATACAGCCCTGATGCTGGCCCTGTCTTATGCCATGAAAAATAGAAATAATCAGAAGAGAACTTTGATAATCTCTTCCACTGTACCATCACACCAACTTACCTCTATGCCCATAGCCTCAACTTCCTGCCTATTTGGTGAACAGTCCACACACCTGTTTAATTTCAACCCTCCACGTCTATGCTAAATCTATCCCATTCCAACTATTCAAAATGTGGCATTTCTCCTTTTTTTCTCCTACATCTTTTCTTCTAATTCATTCTTACCAGCAAACATATTATTTATCCCTTATGAAAAAATAAAAGCTTCCCTTGACTCTGTCACACAGATAGGCTACCATGCCATTTATCATCTCCCCATCGTTAAAGCAAAACTTCTTCAAAGAACCATTTATTCTTACTGCCTCCAATATCTCTTCTCTCATTCTCCTTTGAACGTACTCCAATCAGCCACCACCGTCCAAACCACATGTGATCATTAGTGGCATTGTTTTGCTAATTCCAATGGTCAGTTTATGATCAAGTTCTCATTTATTTTATCTATTTCAGCATGGTCTCATCTATGAAACCCTCTTTTTAGTTAGTTTCTGTGACGGTTAATTTTATGTGTTAATTTGGCTAGGCTATGGCACCTAGATATTTGGTCAGATCCAGTTTGAATGCCTCTGTAAAGATATATTTTTAGATGAAATTAACATTTAAATCAATAGACTAGGAATAAAGCAGATTACCCTCTACAATATGGGTGGGCCTCATCCAATCAGTTAAAGGCCTTAGAGAAAAAAGACAAAAGTTCCCTTAAGAAGAGGGAGTTCTGCATCTAAACCACCTTTGGATTCAAGCTGCTGTTCTCTGGGTCTCCAGCCTGCTGTCCCACCCTGCAGATTTTGGATTTGCTGGCCTCCACAATTGTGTGAGAAAATTCATAGATAGATATAGATTTAGATATGGATATAGATATCAATATAAATATTGATATTTCCCATTGGTTCTGTTTCTCTGGAAACTCTAATAAAGCTGCCAAGAATCCAAAATCATCCACCTAGTTTTGATCTTATATCTTAAGCTACTCCAACTTTTTAACTTTTTTTTTCTTTTTTCATTTATCCCCATTTTCCCTAATCTCTAAACTTTGGAGTACTGAAGGGTTTGTCTTTGGCTTTATTCTCTTTGTTATTTCCATTCACTCACTTGGTGATCTCATCCAAATATATGTTGTTAAATACCATCTAAATATTGCTTTCTCAAATTTTTTTCTCCAGCCCAAAAGTCTCCTTTCAACTTCAGACTGATTTATTTTGCAACCCTTCCTCGATGTCAAATGGGTACCTCAAATTTAAAATATCTGAGAAGGAGGTCCTAACATGTGATCTCCCTTCCAAAAACATCCTATTCCTCTCTTTGAGTTTCCCAGCTCAGTCAGTGAGAACTCTGTTATTCTATTTGCTCAGGTCAAAACTTCAGAGTTGTCCTTAATGCCTTTCTTTCTCTAACACTTTACATTTAAAATACAGCCAGATCCCAATCATGTCTAAACATTTTCACTTGAACCTTCCTGGGCCACACCACCATCCTCTCTCTCCTGCATTATTGTAAAACCCTGCTAATTGGTATTCCTGCTGCCATCATTATTTTCTACCCACCAACTCCCTACCTTCTCATTCCTCCTTCTGTCTAATTTCAACACAACAGCAAGAGTTATCCTCATTGGTCTTAAGTCAGACCATATCATTTTTCTGCTCTAAACCCTCTATCTTCCCCAGAGTAAATTTCAGTCTTTGAAAAGCTCTATGTCATATAAGACACAGTTACCTCTATGACTTTATTCCCCTTGATGATTCTGCTAGTTTTCTTCAAAAGCATGAGTAACATTGTCTCTTCAAGGCTTCTGTACATATTCTTCTCTCAGACTGAAATGCTCTTCCCCTGAATACTCTTCCCCCGAATACCTGCATTACTCAGTCACCTCCTTCAAGTCTTTGTTCAAATGTTGTCTCTTGGTGAGTCCTTTCTTAGCCAGCTCATCTATAATTGCAACTCTTCCCAGACACTCTCCTTATCATATGATTTATGTTTTCTCCTTGGCACTGATTACTAGCAAACATACATTCTACTTATTATTCATTCTTACCGTTTTCTCTAGAATGTGAATTCTACAAAAGAAGAAGTTTCCATATGTTTGTTCACTGCCATATCCCTCGAGCCTAGAGCTGTGCCTGGCACATAGCACTCATTTAACAAATATTTTCTGATTAGATAATATACGTAACTGTTCTGTTTTTAATGTTTTACCTTCTCCTCTTTGTAGTTCCATCTGTTGAAACATCATGCAAATTCAGACTATGACTCCAGAGCCAGTTGCCTTACCTGACAAGGTAAGTTAGACTCTGCCTTTCAATTTCCACAAGGAAATATGCATTTCCTTCTACTATTCTGAAGAACTTTGATCATTTATTTTTTACATTTATATCTCCTTTTAAATGTAACAGAGAATAAAGTCTGTTCATCACTGTATTTCTAACATCTAAAACACTGTCTGATGCAGAGTAGAGGCCAGGACATATGTATCTGGGCAGGAAGGACCACAAAGATGTAAAGACCATCAAAAGTGGTAAGGATGCTTTTTATCCTTGATAAAGTGAGTGATATCAACAGGAGTTATCATGAATTTGTTGAGTAATTTGGGAGATGAGGAAAATATAAATTCCTTATAGTGAGATGACCATATAATTTTTTATCCAAGCTAGGACACTTTGAGAGTGAAAGAGAGTCAACTTGTAATTAGGCAAAGACAACAGGTATAAATGGGACTTTTGTGGCAAACCTGGCTTTATGTATAGTGATCCTACTTAAAGGAATCAGAATATGCCCCCCAGAATTTGTCTCTTTAGTATAAGGATTATTTTCATCTGGTTATTTTTGAGAAACTGCAAGCATGGGAAAAGCTCTGAAAACACTATAGAAGGTCCTTTTTGTCAGGGAAATATATTTATTAAGGGAATCCTCATTTGATAGGAAAGGGATCTCCCTCTCTGTGCCAGGAAGAGAAAGATGATTTGATGACCAGAAACTCTTTATCAGTGGAGAAGACAGGACTTAAATCTAACAAATCTTACCTGTGTTTGCTATGATTTTCCTGGTAATCTGTCATAATTGACCTTCCTACTTCCAATATTTTTTTTTTTTTTGGTCTCTAGCTGAAGATAATATTTAAGGTGGTGGCTCGGGCCATCTCAGGGAGTTACTGTTTCCCTGAGTATCTACCATATATGCATGAGGAATACATACAAACTAACTTCTGTTTATTTTTCTCTTGTTAATCTGTTAGATTAACAGAAGGTCTCAGCCAATAACCTGGAAGGGTAGAGGGAAAATATTTTTTTCCTCCCCTACACTACTTACAGTATAGTTAAGAGCTATAGGGGATACTTGAAGTAGACTCTTTAAAGGCAAAAAAAAAATTATCTTTAAGTAAAGTTGATTTTAAATGTTTTACAAAATGTGATTAATGTTAACATGAGCATATTTAAAAGGTTTATTTCTGGATCAAGTTTCCAGACCGTTGATAAGATAGTAGCAAAATGAAAAATAAAAGTAACAGACAGGAACTATCAGTACATGAGGGAAATACATTTCTGGACATAGACATTAAAAAAGTGTTGATAAGAAAGAAAAACAGGGTGGGAAAAAGCCTCATTTCAGACTGTGTACTATAACAGGAAAGAAGAGGCAGCCCCAGATCAATATTGCCAAATAATATGAAGGACTGGTTTAACAGGTGGAGATGGAGAGATTAATGCAGTTTGTAAATTAAATCGTCCCCCTCTCCCTTACATCAGTATATAAAACAGAAAGCAGCCTGATGTTACCTTTATGAAACAAACAATTAAAAACCAAATGTTTAAACAATCAAAGGATAGGCTGCTCTCTAAAGAATGTGTTCCACTCATATGGGAAGGCTAAGGATTTTGGTTCTGTGTTGGTGCCCAGAGTAAATCTCTTCTCATTCAAGCATTTGGAAGACTTTGCAAATTGATGGCCAGCTCACTCACTCGAAAGCAACGTCTGTCTCTCACCATGGCCCATTCACAGTCACAAAGCTCACAATATGACCTCCCAACAGTTGTCACACCATCAGACAAGACCCACATCGGATAGCTAGAAGAGCAACCTCATGCATCTGTAGAATGAATGATCAACCAGAATTACCAGGCATTCAAGGAGCATGGGTAACATGAACTGGAAAGGCCAAGTAAACCAGCGAAGAAATTGACTCTAGATGAACTGTAATTCAGAAAGTGGAAGAAAATGTTTTAAAAGATCCAATTTGTGTAAAGGGATAACGCATTTTAAACTATACTCTCATTTACAGAGAAATTGTGACTATCTTCTATAAGTGAGATGTTGTTCTTGAAGTATCTCCCACTTACTGAGAAGGGAAAAATCTTCGTTGAGTAATGAAAACTTACATTTTATCATGTGAATAACCTCTTTTTAGTTTAAAAGCATCACTTTCAAGTTCATGCTACGTCTGTTCCAGTTTCACCCTTTCTCCTTCGTAGTCTCCAAGATGGTATCTGAGGATTTTACAGAGCATGAGGGGGGGTGCACCCTTACTACCTTCTGGGATCTTCTGCTCTCTCTGGGTTTCTCCTGGACTCAGGTTATGGTGGCTCTAATCCACTAAGTCATTCTCACTCACATACTTCCCTTGGAAGTGGTGGCTGGGGAACTCGTGGTCTGTTCTCTTTTAGCTCAGTCAAGTGTTGAGGTCCTCTCTACTGATCTAATTTCTGGGGTCATTTTGAATTTTGATTCTGTTCCCTTTTGACTTTTTATTTTGAAATAATTTCAGACTTACAAAAAGTTGCAAAAATTCTCACATATCAACACTCAGTTTCCCTATATGTCAATATTTTACCATATTTGCTTTGTCATTTCCTCTATGTATTTATTAGGGAGAAGGGGTATAAGTAATTTTTGTACTATTTTATAATACATTGCATACATTACTCCCATTTCCCCAAAACAGTTCAGCGTGCATTTCCTAAGATGAAGGATAATCTCTTAAATAACCATAATATAATTATCAAAATAAGATTGATGTAATACCATTATTTAATGTAATAACTTTATTAAAATTTCATCAAATGTCCCACAAATGTCCTTTATAACAAAAACAAAATAAATTCTGGTTCAGGATCACATATCCCATTTACTTGTTAAGTCTTTTGAGTCTCCTTTAATATGGAACAATTCCTCAATCTTTCTTTGTCTTTTGTGACATTGATATTTGAAAAGTATAGAGCACTTATTTCACAAAATGCCTCTCAATTTGGGTTTGTCTGATGTTTCCACGTGGTTATATTCAGG